TGGAATCAGGAGATATACCTATGGTTGTTTGTTACAGAATAGCTTATGCATTAAGTAATAGTAGTTTAAGTATGAATTATCAAAATCAAGAAAGAATATATACACAAAAAATATTCAATGAAACCAGTACCATTATTAAAAATGATAGAATTCAAAAAGAATTCTTAAGAGAACATAGTAGACGATCATTTAGTAATCTAGGAAAACTAAGTGAAAATAATTTATTAAAAATTCAAAAAATTGAAGAACCTCATAGTAGTAATAGTTTATATAAAGGGGATATAGAAATAGAAAAATTAAATAAACAGGTAAATGAGTTAAGCTAATTAGTAATAAATCTAAATAATAAAATATAATTTGTAGTAATGGATAAGAGAGATATAAATCTTGAATTAAATGAATTATTACGAAGGGAAATCAAAGAAGCAGATTATTTAATAGAAAAATCAATTCAATATTCATATATAAACAAGGATGAACAAAAAATAAAGAGAAAAGTGCATTTTTCGTCCTGTAAGTTTACCCCTCTGGACAATTTAGTCCTCTTCGAATAGCCATTTTGATTTTCGTCCTCTAACTTTTAAAAAAGGTTGCAAATTCGTCCCCGACTCGCCGGAAACCCGTTAATTGCCCGGAAACACGCACGTGACACGCACATGATGGAAATTAACGGCTCTTTCGGCCTACGTGGTGCCGGATTTCACACGCGGACATCTTTACTTACACGTGGCGGCCGAAATCAAAAGAAAAAAAAAAAAAATATTCCACGTGTATACACACGTGGAATTGGAGGGAAAAACAGATGAAAGGCAGGAACATGAACAGTCACTTCACTTCTCCCCACAATCGCGTTCCCAAATTCTCTGTGAAGAAAAAATCCCTCCATCTATATCGTTCTCAAATTCTTTCTGAAATTCTGAAATCGAAAGCTCAAAATCAAGTATTGAGAAGCAAGAATCCAAATGATTCCTGAGAAGGTGTTCATCCGGAAGAAGATTCGTATGCACAATGGACCTCCCACATACGGTCAGTGATATTATCTTTCTTTGTTTATGGAAAAAATTCATGCAATGTAATGTCGCGGAGTATTTCGTACAATTAAAATGAAATTAGGGTTATTTGCAAATCGTAATTTTGTTTGCAAGCCGTAATTTCGAAAACGAATTAGAGTTCTTTTGCAAACCCTAATTCTAAATACAAATTGGGGTTCGTTTGCGAACCCTGATTCTGAATATAAATTAGGGTTTTTTGTAAACCTTAATTTTGAAGACAAATTAGGGTTTTTTTCCTAACCCTAATTTCGGTGACTGTAATGTGGTTAAAACCCCTAATTTCATTCAAAATACAGTTATACATTCTTCAATTGCTTATTGTTGTGGTTATCTGAAAATCCCTAATTTCTCTCTGTTTGTTGTTGTTTGGTTGACTTGGGTTTGGTTCCATAGAAAGTAGAGATCACATAACTATCCAACTTTGGTGTGGAGGTCAATTTTTGCATACTCCAATTGACCATTATCTTGGGGGTTCTAGTATGATTTTTGACTGGTTAGAGAAGTCAAAACTGTGTCTGGATACATTGGGTTGTCTTAGTGATCTATTTGGTTGTGTAGGAAATAGAAGGTATTATTTCAACTCGGGTGCTACATTTAACTTACTGAAAGATGATGCAACTTTATGTAACTGGGCTAAATGTTTCTATACTAATAGATTGATGGACATACACATTGATCTAATGGATGAAGGTCAATTTGTGCCTACTTCTAAGTATGATGAAGGTGGTTGGGTAGAATTGGAGAAAAATAATGAGAGTGAAGCAGAGAGCAGTGAAACAAGTGAGAGCAGTGAAACAAGTGAGAGTGAAAAGACAGATAATGAGGGTTGTGAAAAAAATGAAGGCAAGGGTAGTGAAAAAAATGAAGGCAAGGGTGCTGAGGTACCTGATAGGGGTGATGATGGGTGTGATAGTGATGGGGGTGATAGTGATGGGGGTGATGAGGGTAGTGAAACTATAGACAGTGACTTTGATCTTAGATCAGAAAGTAGTTGTGGGAGGGATGATGCAGACTTTGATCACAATGTAGACAAATCTGTGGAGTCTGAAATTGAATCTGAGTCTGATAGTGGGGAAGAAGATTTAATTGAAACTCCACTTGATTTTGATGAGTTTTGTTCAGATACTGAAACAGTTGAAAAGAGAGAAATTGTATTTAATCCTAGCAATATCTATGATCCAACATTTGCACTAGGAATGGTCTTTGGTACTAGAGCAGAGTTTAAGAAAGCTGTACAGTCACATGCTATTAAGTCCAAAAGAAGTGTGAAGTTGAAAAAAAATGATAAGATTAGGGTCCATGCAGTATGTGATTCAGAGGAGTGTCAGTGGAAAATTCATGCCCTGAAGATTCCTGACCAGGAAGCCTTCAAGATAACCACTTACAACCCCACTCATACATGCCCTATATCTTTTCATCTTAAGAATATTAAAAGTAAGTGGTTGTCTGAGAGGTACTTGAGCAAGTTTCAAGCTGATCCCTCAAGAAAAGTAAAGGGATTTAGAAGGGAAGTGGTTCATGAGTTGGGGGTTGGGATTTCTAGGCACCAGGCTTATAGGGCTAAGAAGAGAGCTCTAGAGGTACTTGAGGGAAATCCAGATTCACAGTATGAAAAGTTGTGGGATTATGCCCAACAACTGAGGGATACAAATCCTGGTTCAACTGTGATTCTAGATGTTTTAGAAGATGATGGTGTTCCTAGGTTCTCCAAATTCTATGTTTGTTTTGCTGCACTGAAGGAAGGTTTTAGGAGTGGTCTTAGGCCAATAATAGGAGTTGATGGCTGTCATTTGTCTGGACCCCACAAGGGTATTCTTCTGACTGCTGTAGGTGTTGATCCTAACAACAACATATATCCCTTAGCTTATGCTGTGGTTGGTAAAGAAGCTAGGGATACTTGGGAGTGGTTTCTGATTGCATTGAAACATGATCTTGGCATTGTGCATGACAGTGATTGTACTTTCATTAGTGATAAACAGAAAGGGTTGATTGTGGCTTTTCAGAATGTTTTTCCTGACTCAACACATAGATTTTGTGTTAGACATCTGCACAATAACTTTAAAAATGCTGGTTACAGAGGGGCTGCATTTAAAAATGCTTTGTGGGCTGCTGCACAGGCAGCTACTGTGGGTGAGTTCCATTTTAGAATGAGACAAATGAGAGAAATATGTGTAGAAGCTGCTGACTGGTTCAATGACAAGAACCCTGCACATTGGTCAAAATCACAGTTTGAGGAAAAACCAAAGTGTGACATATTGTTGAATAACTTGTGTGAGAGTTTTAATGCATGCATTGTTGATGCTAGAGAGGAACCCATAGTGACTATGCTTGAATGGATCAGAATGTACTTAGTGAAAAGGCTTCAAAGAAACAGGGATAGGGCAGAGTTGAGATGGAAAGGCAAAGTGTGTCCAAAGATCATTAAGACAGTGGAGGCTAATATGGCAAAGTTAGGTGACTGCATGCCTATGAAAAGTGACAACACTCACTATCAAATAGAGTGTTATGGTGGAGGTCAGTATGTGGTAGACTTGGAAAAGAAAACTTGCACATGTAGGTTGTGGGACTTGAGTGGGATACCATGCAAGCATGCATGTAGTGCAATTGTATCTCAAAAGGGCAATCCAGTTGATTATGTGCATGACTTCTACAGTGTGGAAACATATAAAAGAGTTTACAAACCAGCCATCCTAGGTATTAACTGTCAGATGCTGTGGAACCAAACCCATTTCATTCCACCTTTGCCTCCCACATTTGGGAGAGGTGCAGGTAGACCTAAGAAAGCAAGGAGGATTGATCCTGATGAGAAAGGAGAGAAAAGACAGAAAATGAAGGCAAAGATTCAAATGAAGATGAAGAGGCAGCAGACAAGTTTGAAATGTGGAAAATGTGGCAATGTGGGTCACAATGCCAGATCTTGTGGCAAGAAAAACCTTTCTGATGCCAAGAAGGATCAGAGCCCACTAGCTAAAGCAAGCAGGACAATTGTAAGCAAAAATACAGCTTTTATGTAAAATATGTTTTAATTTTCATTTTTTTCAGTTTTGTTATTTATTGTTACAAATTAAGAGGACTTATTTATGTTTCCATACTTTTGCAGTTGCAAATTAAGAGGGCTAATGCTGCAAGACAGGAGAAAGCAGCTAAGGCTATTGCAAAAAAGGCCAAAGAAAATGAAAGGGAAGCAAAGAAACAGAAACAAGGTTTAAGCATTGATAAGCAGGTGGTACTTTATTCATTTTTCTTTTTATTTCATTTAATTACATTATTAACAAATGTGTCTGATTAATAACTTTTCTTGAACAGAAAAAACAAGGCTCCACCTCCACCATAGAGAAAGAGGTATTACTGACTTTGTTTATTTTTCTTTGTAATTCATTTATGTTGTGGTCATGACTGTGTTTTTTCTTCAACAGAAAGAATGGCCAAGCATGGCACCACCTGCTCCATTTGTAGAAGAAACTGACTGGGATGATGAAGGCTTTGTGTCACAATTGACACAAGAGTTTTGTGCAACTCCACAGCCTGAGATGACAAAGGGACCGACACCCCTTGAACAACTGAAAATGGGATTAGGAGATGATTCATACTTTAGAGGTAAGCAGTTGGAGGCCATCAATGCAAGAGATGGAACTCCAGCAATGTTTGAAAGGATTCAAAATGACCTCTCTCTTGGTAGCTCATCTCAGAAGTTGAAGCAGATCAAAAAGGAGAAGGGAGAAAATTCTAGAAAGAATTGAATTTCAGTTGATTTGATAGGAAACTGAATTTAGTTGATTTGGTTGTAAAACATTTGCAGGATTTGTTTGAAACTTAATTTTGTTTTGGTGTTAATTTTGTTTTGCTTGGTGGTTGTAAAACACTTGTGGTTATGATCAGTTATGATTATTGTTCTACTTTTGAATTTGTTTGTGTTGAGTTGTGATGGTTGTGATCAGTTCAGTGATATCAGTTGAGTTTAGTTGACAATGAAATGGTTGAGTTGTGCAGTTGAGTTTTGACAATGAAATGCTGGGCAAGCTGTTGTCTTCCATTATCCTCCTTCTCTGTTTCTCTCTGTTTGTGCTTACAAGAAAGTTGTGACAGATGAATGATGAATATATAATCTCTTGTGACAGATGAATAGGTGGATAATACTTACACATATCAAGGGGTGCACTTTTTTTTTTTTTTTAATTTATATGTTCCAACAATTTGTAGTTAACCTTAAAAAAGTAGAACAAGTGCACACTAAAGAAATACAAGAGATACACTAAAGAAATACAAGTAGTTATTAACTGCACACTAAAGAAATACAAGTGCAAACTAAAGAAAATTTCATTTCATTGAAACCACAAGTGCATTACATAGAAACACACAAAATACAAGAGTACATAGAAGATTACAAGAGAAAATAAACACATTACACAACCTTCCTTAATCTATATCCTTCACCTAATTTTATATAGCAAAAATACACACAACAAAGCTGCTATAGCCAATGCAAACCCCATTTTCATCTCCATTTTTTCTTTCTTTTCAACCAACCTCTTGTTCAATGCTTGCAATTTTTCAACCTTTTTCTGTAATTTTTCAATTTTCTCCTCCAGTTTTTCAACCTTCTCCTCCAATTTGGTATTCTCAAATTTGAAGTTTTCATTTGCTCTCTCCAGTGCCTTCATCTTCTTCACTAACCCAGGCATGATTTTTTCAGGCCGGTCACAGGTAGGAGGGTCGACCCAAGAGAAAAAATCACAGCCTCCATTCTGTACATTACCAAAAAAAAAAAAAAAAATTAAAACAAGGTTGATTTTTTCCTCCATATTCTGTACATTAACAAGGTTAAAACAATGTATAATACAGCCAGGACACAATCAAACACCCTTCACACAGCCGTGAAAAAACCCAACATTGCAAGAATCAGAACACTATCAAACACAGAAGCAACTCTACCAAAAATATCATACAATTCTACCCTAAATATCATATAATTCGTCGTTAACAGAACACCGTACCTTGTACTCGAGGCAAGAATGAAATCTCCTGCCCGGGTTGTCGGCCGTCCATGATGTGCGAATAACAGCCATTTTTCTGCACCGACATTCCAAGAAACCGGTATAATGCGACGACTCAGACATGTTGAAAGTGAACGAAATCGACACTTTTGAAGAACGAAATCAACAATTTTCAAAATTAGGGTTCTTGAAGATTTGGGGATCTTGAGATTTGGGAAATTAGGGTTGAAGGAAGATGGAAATGGTTCACAAACAGTAGGGAGTATTCATTTTATCAACGTTCCAATTCCACGTGTGTATACACGTGGAATTTTTTTTTTTTTTCTTTTGATTTCGGCCGCCACGTGTAAGTAAAGATGTCCGCGTGTGAAATCCGGCACCACGTCGGCCGAAAGAGCCGTTAATTTCCATCACGTGCGTGTTTCCGGGCAATTAACGGGTTTCCGGCGAGTCGGGGACGAATTTGCAACCTTTTTTAAAAGTTAGAGGACGAAAATCAAAATGGCTATTCGAAGAGGACTAAATTGTCCAGAGGGGTAAACTTACAGGACGAAAAATGCACTTTTCTCAAAAATAAAACAGATAGAATATGATATACAAAAATATAAAAAAAAATTTAAGAAGTTACATAGAATAGGACCACCTAAAACAATAATATAAATGGCTTTAAAGAAGAAAGTATATACAAGGTTAAAATATGACAATAATATAAATGGCTTTAAAGAAGAAAGTATATACAAGGTTAAAATATGTTATACAAGGTTAAAATATGGTATCAGAGCCTGGTAACAGGCGAAATACTTAATTAAAAAATGCCACAAATAGATTGGTTAAATGCATTTTTAGCAAGACGTAAAACTCTTGAAAAGAAAATTCCAAATACAGCACCACATTCTGAAATACACGAAAAACACATAAAATATTGGAAAGATAAGCTTGAATGTATAAATCTAGCTATCCGAATCTTAGAAACAAATAGTAGAACTTTTTCAAGATCAGAAGAACAGTTCTTTGAAAAATGTTTAGATCCTTGGAGATATAAAAAATAAAGAAAATGAGTACAATAAAAATTTATTTGGACATAGAATGGGAAATTCAAAATATAAAAACAGAAATAATAAGATATGCTTATTTACATGATATTACAAGTGAAGAATTTTATTATGACATGATAATGATATGTGAAAAACAATTAAAAAGATTAAGAAATTTACAAACACAAGTAGCTGTTGCATAAAAGAAAAATATTATATAGCAAATGGATACTATTTATAGAATTAATATAGGAAGCATTTGCTATGAGCACTCCAATGGGTGCCACCCTCGCGGGTGGCATCGAGTGAACCCCATTTTGCACGCTCTTCTCAGGGCATTTAATCAACTAAACCTCAAAAACATTTTTTTACATTTTTCAACGTGCCATGTCATCCAAAAACTCATTCTTATTCCTCCACTTAGGACTGGCATTTTTTTACCTAAAATCGAAAATCGAACCAAATCGAAACAAACCGACGAGAAAGTAAATCGAACCGTACCAAATCACTTGTAACGGTAACCGACTATCGGTTCGGTATCGGTTTTGTACCCATAAGGGTTCGGTAAAAGCGAACCGAACCAATAAGAATTTTTAAAAAAATATTAAAATAAGTGAAAATATTGTGCATCTCATTGTAATTGCAGGATTGGTGAATAATTGTTTAATTATACCAAATTGAATGTCCACGTTTTTGCTTAAGCTAAAGTTACCTAATTATCAAACACTACCTTTGGCCATTCTTACATAAATAAATATTTAATTACTAGTGGTGTAGTTGGATTTGTTAGAATTTAAGGTCTGCTTTAATGGCTTCTGCTACTGCTGAGATTTTATGTACTTTGTTGTATGTATATCACTCAATTCATCTAACACACACACAACCTGTTAGCAGAAATTTGATTAACATCACACAACTTAATTCAATCTAAAATCAACATCACACTGAACTCAATTCGTTTACAAACAACAAACAGAAGAGATTCAAATCATTTGCTCGGTATTTTAGCAATTGCAAACCTGTTAGCAGGGTTCGATTTTCGATTTGTTATCGGTAAAAAACCGAAATCGAACCGTTTTTTCGGCAACCGAAGATCGGTTACCGACTTCTAGTCGGTTCGGTTTCGGTTTCGCATTTTAGTGTTACCGAACTTATCGGTTCGGTTACCAAACTGATACCAGCCCTACCTCCACCCATAAACCTTCAATAACAACAAATTCCATAATCCTTATTTTTTATGGCTCCCAGAACTATTGAATTTCAATATTTCTAATAGAAAACATAATTTGTAGAAAAAAACAGTAACTCAAAATTTCTTCCCACTCATCACAAAAGGGTCTAAATTGGAGTTTCCACTTTCTACAAAGAATACAAAGCATTGTTGGCTAGTAAGCACTATTAATAACCAAAAAATAACACAAAAGTTACAGTATATCATAGCCTAAATCTCACAAGCTCAATCTTGAATCTTGATTATCAAATAAGTAAAATGAAAAAAAAAAAATGCTCATTGACTTCATGAAAAATACCAGAAAATCAACACGGACCGCTGACGGGATATTTTTGCCCGCCAATAGCAATTCCAAGTTCATTACCCAATATATTTCCTTCACTTAAAATGATCTGGATGTATAAATGCCACATATTCCGAATGCAATTCATCGTTGTCCTTTTGCTTCCATATCTCACCATTTGCATGGACGAGCCACGAGATTTGAGGAAGTGCAGCAAAATCTGCTGAAGAAGTACACAAATCTTAGTAATCAAATACAGAAATGCTAATAAAAAGGGAAAAATATTAATTCCTATGATTTAAAAAAAAATAACAAAAAACATCCCGGATGTTTGAAGTACTTACCCAAAACAAAAAAAAAAAAATATGGAAAACCTACACAGTACCCAGAGATTGATTGAAAAAACCTCTGGTGGGGTGTTTGCGCAATTTTGAAACTTTTCTGGACATTTCTGTAATGTAGTCGAATCTCGAGGGTGGTTTAGTAAATTCCTATAAGGATAAAGAGGGTAAGTACCTGAAGATGACTGCTTTTCGGGTTCTCTTGTAATGTGCAACACCACTGTACCGGCAAGCACAGTTACAAATCCACAGAGAACCGAAGCAATGCTACTAACACTCTGACCAGACCAATCCTAGAGATTTTCACAAAATATATAGTCTCAGCGCAAAAAACAGCGTAAAACCACTAAACCAGACTATTCTTAAATACCTTAAACATTATGGCACTGGCAAGAATCGTGAGTGATGTGAACATAGCATAATAGATTGGAGATACTACAGCAGTGTTAAACGNAACCGAAATTTTCCTCAAAACTTTATGCAACTGGCTTGTCTATCCAGGTAAAGGCATTGATGCATGGAGTTAATTTGTTTCAAAAATTTCAGTGTGAAAAATAAATAAGTGTGTTTGATGAATAAAAAATGTTCAAAAGCAAACCTTGTTTAAGTAGACTAATTGAGTGGCAATGCAAGTAACCGCAACCATTGCAAATACCCATGACTTGAAATGAGCTACTTGACTATAACCTCCCAGAGTGAGTTTTATGGCAATACCTATAGCTTTGATGCTCATAACCTGAAATGAAGCTAAAATATTTTTATCCAGTGCCCACAAACAGGATTTAACTCACAATACTAAATACCTATTAAATTAAACTGTATTATAGATGTACTTACAGTTAAGGATCCAATTACAGAACAAATTCCGATATAGACCATGATGTTTGTCTGCCCATACCGTGGTTCACAATGCAATACAAGTACCAAGACAACTGCTGCTATTGAAGCCATGTACAAAAGAAAAGCTGGAGCAAGAAAAAAAAAAACAAGAAGGTTAGCTATAATTATTTTTCTCATTTCCGTCTAGTGAAAAAATTAAGAGATTAATACTAAATTTATCACAACAAGTATCAAGGGCTGACCAGGCTGTACTGCTAGTTCCCAGATTTCTTCCACTGAGCTAATACTATGTTCGCCAGGTGCATGAAGCACAATGACTGTACTACCCACAACGCACAAAATACATCCCAAAATACCTAACTTCCCCAAGTTCTCTTTTAGTAAGAAATGTGCTAAAACAGCACTGCCAACAAAAATAGATAGTCATATAATACTTTATAACTTCATATGATACTGGTAATTAGTTGTGGAATAGAAGATAAAATCATTCATAAAGGAAATGGGATTATGAGGATCGAGATTTACCTGACAATTATACTTAATGCTCCAAGGGGTGTCACAAGGACAGCAGGAGCATACATATAAGCAACAAAATTGGCAAACTCCCCAATTATCACTGAGAAAAAAAAATAAAGCTGAAGTTTGAATTTACTAAAAGAACGAGTACATTTAATTTCTGATCTTAAAATTAAGCAAAGACTTACTAGTGACCATTCCAATCCACCAAAGTGGTTCGAGCAAATATCCATATCCTCCTGAACCTTCATATTAAAGAAGAGCATCGTTAGAAATTAAACTGCGTAATGGATTTAGATATAGACATGTAAAAAGTAACACCACGTGCAGATTCCACAAAAAGTTGTCCTAAACTGAGATTCATCAAGATGAATACTTGAGCACCAAACTAATTTCCACTCCACTGACTGCAAGACTCACACATGTCAAGTTCACAACATTAATCTTTATGGACTCCCATATAGAGCACAACCTGCAAATCCAGCACGATGATCGCCTTACTGGCTTCACCTGGCTTCACACATGAACCTTTCCATAATAACTTGGATTTTGCAGTACTCATGATCTCACATTTTCATTCCATGTATTGCACATCCATTTCAATCAATTGTCAGCCATTATGCTTCCATCCAAAAGCTCGTATCGGCAGATAGTTCCATAGCCAATGCGTAAGTTCAGCTTACTTACAAGTTACAACCACTTCAGAGCTACAAATAACTTTTTTTCTATACTCCATAACTTGCATAAAAGAGCCCAAAAGCAAAAATGACCTAAAAACTTCCCAAATTAACCGCACCATATACGAAAATAACGGCTGGTGAGTCCATAAGGGACAAATAAAAATGGTTCATTTCGAAATTCTGAAGTTTCA